GGGCTGTTTACGACCCTACATAATCTCTAAATTACCCTACATTACCTATGGCCCAACAATCAGATCCGCTCACCCCACATAAAAACCGGTACTGGCAGCATTCCCCAGCGTCGCTAACACAAGGAATACTGGCGCCTTGATGCTCTTACATCCCAATTGATTTTCGGGTCGCCCAATAGATGTTCCATCACTTGTGATCCCGATGGTGGTGGGCAACTGCCACCTGCCAATCTCTGGGCAACTGCCACCTGTCAATCTCTAAGTCTTACCTGCCGTGCGCAGGACAGGAGCCCCTCTCGGAACAAGTGAAAGCCCAACGCTCATACCCATGAACGACGGTGACATTCACATCTGAAAGCAGCAGCAGCAGCTGAAAGAAAAGAAAAGAAATCGACACGAATGGATCCCAAATTTTCACAATTGCCAATCATCAATGTATTCCCATTATAAGGGACGCTGGGCCCGGTTCCCAGCACGTGATGCTCCCCACGAATAGATTGGAGCAATTAAAAAACAACAAAAAAAAAGACGGCTTCAGTGGCGTGCAAAATTTCATCCGATCGGATGAAATCCGATCCGGTAAGATCAGATCAGGTCAGATCAGGTCGAGTGGAGAGCATGGCAATCAGCGACAACCAAACTGAATTACAAAGACAGTGAAGTCCAATCATAACATAACCAACTTCGAAAAAAAAAAAAAAAAAAAAAAACAGTCGCGTGGAAATCCGTATCAGATAAGATCACGTTGGGACAATCGTCACACTGACCCATTACTTTCATCTGAGAGCAGCAGCTGCTGAAGGACAAAAGGAGAAGTCGAGGCGCGCCCAGACGACTACAGTCGCGTGCATAATTTCATCCGATCATATCATATCAGATCAGATCTGATCTGATCACACCAGATCAGATCTGATCAGACCACACCACATCAGATCAGATCGGGCGGGTGGAGTGGAGATCAGATCAGATCAGATCAGATCAGATCATACCACATCGGATCGGGTCGAGTGGGAAACATGACAAGGAATTTCAATCAAAACTTCTTACTGTAACAATGCCAATCAAGTCCAAGCATAACATAACCAACTTCGGAAAAAAGAAAAAAAGAAAAAAAAAAAAACAATTTCGAGGAAATCCATATCAGGACAGATCACGTCGGGATCATCATCAAACTGACCGCCACAAATGACAAATAGATCCATATCAGATCAGATCAGACCAGAATAGATCGGGACATATCATCCGGTTGAGCGGTCAAAGTCGACGACCAGTCAAAGAGTCGATTAATGTGAAAATCAGGTCCAATTACAATGACGTATTGAACATCAAGACGACCCGATCCGACGAGATCAGGTCAAATCATATCAGATTGCGCGGAAAATCCACCAGCGGATAACCGTTGGTAGATTTCCCGCCCAATCAGATTAGATTGCGCGGGAAATCAGGTCCAATTATAACCGATTGATCTTCCAAAACGACGAAAAGGAACGACCGACCACCAGAAATGAAAGCATTAACTCTGGACGACCAAGTTGGACCAACCCTTTAACGTATTCCTCCAGAAAAAAACGCACCCTCATCATACATGTATGGACACTATCTTTCCAGTCTGATACAGTCATAACGAAGGAGCGCTGTGTTCGGAAAAAAAAACAACCACCAGAACACAAAGCATAAAACTCGAAATGAGCATCACTGCCCTGTAACGTCTTCCCCGGAACACAACGCACCCCCATCATGCATGTATGAACACTATCTTTCCGGTCTGATACAGTCATAATGAGGGAGCGCTGTGTTCGGGGGAAGACTTATAGTACCAACAATGGACAAAAAAATTGACTGCAGAGCGGATACTGCGAAAAATGCGAAAAAAAAATGTGCTCCCTTGCGACGAACAGCATGCTCGACAAAACCCCGAGTAGCATCAGGTTCTGACGCGAGTGTCATCGACAGTTGATGACACGTGTACCTCTGCGACTCTGCCATTATTTAAAATTGGGACCGAACAAAGGAATCCGCCGACCTGCCGCCATCTCCAATCTCGATTCAGTCTCTCTGTCCCTTCATACGCTGCTGTTTCAGAAGCACTTCGCCGCCACAAACAGCCATCAACAGTCGGTCACGCGGAAGAGAGAGAGAGAGAGAGAGAGAGAGAGAGAGAGAGAGAGAGAGAGAGAGAGAGAGAGAGAGAGAGAGAGAGAGAGGTTGTCCAGAATTGGAAGAAGTGAGGCTGAAGAGGGGAGGAAAATGGGTATCCCTGCTCGAGAGAGGAATTAGAAGAAGGCGAGAGTAGCAGTCACTGGTAACCTAGCAGGCTTGCAAGAGCAAGAAAGAGAGAGAGAGAGAGAGAGAGAGAGAGAGAGAGAGAGAGAGAGAGAGAGAGAGAGAGAGAGAGAGAGAGAGAGAGAGAGAG